AAAAAAAAAAAAAAGATACATAAACAACCTAAATGCTTATCAACCCAGGAATGGATTAATAGACTGTGGTATATGGATGCCATGGAATATTATTCAGCCATTAAAAAAGATGGAGACTTTATATCTTTTGTATTAATCTGGATAGAGTTGAAACACATTTTTCTTGGTAAAGTATTACAAGAATAAAAAAGCAAGAATCTAATGTACTCAATACTAATATGAAGCCAGTAGATGATCTAATACATGTCCACACAAGAGAACAACATAATTCAATTCTAGATGGGGGAAGGAGGAAGGAGGGAGCTGGGAACAGGGGAAGAGGGAGGGTGTGCTCCCACCTAATGGGCATAATGGCAGGGAATATGGCACACCTCTTAGGTGCGGGACACAACTACAAGAGGGACTCTACCTAACAAAGGCAAATATTCTAATCTAGTTGTAAACTTGCATTAATCTGAAATTAAAACAAAACAAAATGAAAAACCTGGCCTGAATTTCCATTGCCACAGTGGAGAGTCAAAGCCTCTCCCCTGGTTTCCAGATGTAAGTCAACTCAAAGACCCAGAGATGGTTGATTAATAGGGAAGTTGAAACCCCTTGAGGAAGGGCCCTGAAGTATTGCTACAAGTATATACTGTACAGTTTCCTCCAAGCCTTCCTCAAAGAGATGCTCAGCCCTTTACTAGAGTGACTGTCAGCTGGGGAAAAGGAAATACACAGGCTTTCTGGGAATAATAGACACTGGTTGTAAATTGACAGTAATTCCTAAAATCTTATGATATCACTGTGGTACACCAATCAGAATGGGTTTTTGGAGAAAAGAAGCCAGTAGGTGATGGAGTATTAGTCCAAGTTTTACTTACAATGGGCCAAGCTGGTCCACTGACCCAATGACATTTGTCTTCAGTACCTACAGTTGTAATTGGGATTGCCATAACTGGCAACTGACAGCATCTCCCCATTGGCTCTTTGAATCTTAGGGTGAAGGAATATTTATACGTTTTCTTCACTGATGTATCTTGAGTGCCTAGAATAGTATCTGGCACATAATGGGCACTTAATAATTATATGTCAAATAATAAATAAATCAATAATCTGCAAAAGATACAAAATCTTAAACTTTAAAAAATATTTTCATATTCAAAAATTTCTTATAGTATTAATAGTACTATGTAGTATTGTAGTATTAATACTATAAGAAAATAGTACTAAATGTACTATTAATAGTAAATAGTACATTTGTTTTTGGTAAATGAACATTTAAGTTATTTATCACTAGACAGATTTCTGTCAATAACTAACAGCCACTTCTCCGCACTGACTGTTTTCTTGGTGCCTAGGAGTCACTGAGATTTACAGAGAGGAAGTTCTAACAATTCTGGCCTTTGGTTTGGCTTTCTCAGAAAGGTCGTGGTTGGCGGGCACTATTTCCCTCCTTCCTTGCTACAGTAAATCTGCTTATAGACAAAGAAGCTCAGCTGTCCTCACTTCTGCCCCACAATGAAGGGCAATATGTGTTGAAGTTTGTTGGGGGTTGGGCACTAACAGTGAGACAAGAGGTCAGGAATCACGGGGAAGGTACGGCGTATGTGCTTGTCTCCTGCTACATTCCCAGTCTGCTGCTGAGCCACGGTGTCCCCAAATATTTGTCGTTAGAGACGACAAGAACAAGTATTACCTCGAATTGAAAGTCCCACAAAATAACTTCTTCAGCAATATTAGCACTGAGTTTGCATTTAAGATGGAAATAAAACACAGAGCTAGAACACTGACCTGTGTGATGTAGATGATTTTGTGCAGCTGAATTAGTATCTGCTGAATAGGATCACTGATCTGACGTACTTTCCTCTGGGACACAGCAATTCCTGCAGATGCTGTGGGTAATAAAATTCTGCTGTTAGTCAAGTTCTCTTCCAAAAGTGATAGCAGCAGAAAGTGAAGTAAAATTCTGACACAAATTTAAAACAAAAAACTTACCCTACCAATGAGACAGAATGCAGAGACCCCGTTAACACATCAATATTTTATGGTATGGAATAAACCATATCTTCCCTTTCCTTCTCAGCAAAGAATGATATTACCTGTGATAACATCTGAAGGACTGTTTATCTCTTGGATATTTTGCTTTCAATTATAGCAGGCTGCCATCAAAAGTCAGTGGTGCCTTGGATACTGTAAAACCAGGCTTCCGACATGGGCTAAAGAAGAGGCTATCATGCTTTTAAATTTTTAATTCAATAGGTCCTCAATATCACGTTTGAGAAGTAATTTAATTCAAACTAACACATGTACTCAGTGAATTGGCAATCTTACAAAGAGAAGGAAAAAACCCCAAAACCCAAAACCCTCTTAGCTAAAATTAAGTAACTTTCAATCTGTTGATGACTACAAATTCTAATTTTTACCTAGATTTCTTTCCAGGTCTAAAAAGGACACATTTATAACCTATCCTGAATTCTCATCATAGAGTCACCACCTTCACAGTTTCAGGCCAATATGTTACCAAACTGCACAGGGTTGCTGCCCCAGCTTCTTACGTGACGCCACAAATGGTCCATTCTTAGCATGTAGACTATAAGGCTATTTAAAAGAATGGCTTTGATCTCTAGATTAGCTACAAGTCCACCTCGGCCTCCTTTCCCCCACAGCACCACACTGGAGAAAACGGAGAGGGTTCAGGTATGTCTGTGATGTGTATTTTCCTCCTTCCTTTCTCCTCCTCTTTCTTCCCTTTCCCATCTTCCCCTTACCCTAGAGAATCACCCTCTTTTAAAGGGAGGTGCTTCTTGCCAATATCCCTTTTTGAAAAAATGTCCCAAAGACATTATTTTTTCTCTTCATACAACATTGAGCCTCTATGAAATTAAAAATGAATATAATCATTGCTTAGCAACAGTTAAGATTTTTTTTAAAAAAATGATTCTTACATTAGTGCTTTCTGAGAGAGCTTGCATATTTTACCATAACTATTTTGTTTTCAACACATTTAAAGTGAACATTTAATGTGGTTGTTTAAAAAGAGTCAACTTGTTTTATTATAAGCTATGAAAATTTATATTTAGACACAAAATGCAATAAAGAATAAAATATAATCGTTTAAAGAAATATTTTCTTTATGGATAGCTTTAGTTAGCTAAGAAATTAGCACAAGAAATAATCTAATTCTAGTTCATCTTCAATACTACCTTGTTTAAGTGTTTGAAATTTAAAGATAGGTCTCACCTGGGCACTGTGTCTAGCTCCTTTAAAGTGTCAATTATTTGATTATTAATACGATGTTTAATAAATTACCCTTAGGGTAAAAATGTCAGGGCAAATCAGAAAGAATTAATGTGTCTATAAAATAGAAAACAAAGACTTAGAGTTTGCAGAGATGCCCAAGCGATGGTCCTTGCAGAAATAATTCTTAAAGTCTAGCTATTTGTTTGTCTATACTTATACCAAAAACTAAACACTGTGAAATACGGTCAAGTTGATGCTGCTGCAGGCACATTAACTTTGCATTTTCTGAAAATGAAGGGCTTTAGGTTTTTATATTAATTATTTTATGGTTTTTATTTATAAATGCAACATTCATAGGTAATGAGTTAAAATCTCACAGCATGGCAGAGAGTTCTTAGATTTGTGATGACATTTTGAGTGAGATATCACACAGGTTTGACTCTACCTTGCCACAAGAATGTGCTCATCTGTGGCCCTAAATACAAAAACAGAGAGTTAGCTAGAATGCCTGACTTTGGAACTAATCAACTATGTAATTTAACTTGAAAATTATTTTTCTTAATATATGACAGCTACCCTCTCAATCCAGTAAATGTTTGACCTCTGAAAATAGTTCTAATTGCTTACTCTCTAAAAAACAATTTTAAATGTTTAATTACACCCGCCCCTGTAAAAATAAGCAAGCAAGCAAACAAACAAACAAAAACATCAGTATTGCAAATGATGCTGAAGACTCCCAGAAGCCACCAGGTGGCTTCACATCCACCTCTCCAGAAGTAACCTCTGATATTAAAGTGGTGTGTTGCCTTCCGGTCACTTTTCTATCCATTTGTATATATACATGTGTGTCTCAAAATAGTATTGTTCAAACTATAGTTGAGATCTGAAATAAATTTAATGGGTCATGACCAGCATTTTAAAAAATCGAATGAAATGCATTATGACTAGATAAAAAAAGTTCAGAGTGTATTGCAAGGGTCCACTCAATCAAGATTAAAAATATGCTTCTGATTGATGGTCACTTCCAGGAGTTTGAAAGATACTACTATAGAAAATCTACAGTATTTTTTCCATCCTTTCCTATTCCATTCCTTGCATCCCTCCCTCCCTTTCTTTTTAAACTAATAGCAACACATGACTATCATATAAACTGCTTTACAGTTGGTTTTTTTTTTTTTCACTCAACCACGAAGATGCCTTTTTTTATCAACACACCCAGTTGTAGTTCATTCTCTATAACTGTGGAGTATACTGCAATAGTATTGCATGTTCTGGAGTTTACATAACCACTTCTATCTTTATGGGCACTTTGCTTTCAATTTCTCAATGTTTATAAATGATGCTATAGTGCATGCCTGCAGCCTCACTGTACACAATAAGTACAAGAATTCTTTTAGGGTAGACAAGGAGATGTGAACTAGCTGGACCCTATAATAAACACATTTCTTACTGTAACAAATACATTTTACAAGTGGCTGAATCACTTTATACTCTAATCAGAAAAGAATCCATTTTTCTATGCCTTGGTTAACATTATATATTACCACACTTTCAAATATTTCCAATCTCATTTTTTCTATTTTTTTTTAAATTTAACTAAATGTGAGGTTATTGTTCTTCTTTGGTGAACTTCTTGCTTATACCCCATGCTTTCTTGTTCTTATTGATTGGTAAATGCTCTTTACATATTCTGAATGCTAATCCTTTTACTTCATTTCATATGTTAAAAGTATTTTCACCTAATCTGTTATTTCTTTTCTATTTAAAGGGCATGTCCTATTCCCATCATCTAGACTCAGGTGCCACAGGAACAATCTCACAGAGCTGCTGCTACTGTATCAAGGCAAGCTGGGATCTCATCATCAGTTCAGCACTACTAGGTGCTCTGGCAGGATTACTAAACCATGTCATGAGTTAGGCTGGAGAGAGAAAGAAAACTTGGGACTGAAAATGATGTGTGAGGAGTCCAGCTCTAATATTTGCAAACTCTCTTGATTCCCTTGATACTCAGGTAATCCTGGGTACAAGAACCATTCTTCTTCATTTCCTACCTGATCAAATCTCACAGTTTTTTTTTATATTTTCCTTCCCCCAAATGTATACTTATTTAGCTGTTAATAATTTTGGGAAAACAAAAATGATAAAAATCCAAATCCATATCTTATTTTTATGCTTCATTTTAAGAATAATATCTACTACATTCATGGCAAATGTTAGTCATACCTTTTATCTAGGTTGAAAGCATTCCTTCTGAATAAATCTTTCAGATTAGCTCACTGAAAATAATATACTTCCTAAATATTCACACAAAAAATCAGCATATGTTTATTTTTACAATTTTGTCCTAAGAATATTTTTACTAAAACAATTTTTCCTTCATCAGCCATCAGTGAGGAGGATCATAGTTCGTATGTAATGCCTGTCATACATAATATGCCCATAATTAATATCTATGTGATATTTCCTATTGTCAACTGTATATGGCATTTTGTCCCCTTAAAATTTAAATAAAATTCAAGTTTAAAATATTAGAATACGTTGTTTGCTTTTATAGTTCCTTTTAAAATAGTAAATTTGACTAGTACGTTAAAACTTAGGACTAAACTAAAAAATTCCTTATAAGAGGTAGTTTAGTTTACTTCAAAGGGTCAAAGGTAAAAAAAGTAATTATATTTGTTAGCTTACTCCACGGTGAACATGACACTAAAGAGCTATTTTCCCCTCTGGAGTGTCAGCCAGGACAACGTGCAGGAAGAGCAGGGCTCTCTTAGCATGGACTTGGGCAAGACACTGGGAAGCATTTTCTACACTTATCTCATGTAACCCACACAGCCACTCTGAAGGGCAACTGCTTTTATCCTCATATTACAGATGAGGACACTGAGTGTTGTAGTCTGAAGGTTTCCAGATCCTTAAAATTCACTGTTGAAATCCTAAACCCCAGGGGATGTTTTTAGGGGGGAGCACCATTGGGGGTGCTTAGGTCAGGAGTGCAGAGGCCTCGTCAATAGGATCAGTGACCTCCCAAAATGGCCGAGACAGAGCTTAGTCACCCCTTCCACTGCATGAGGACACAGCTCGAAAGAGTCATCTGTGAACCAGGAAGCAGGCTTTGGCCAGACATGGAACTTGCAGTGCCCTGATCTTGAACTTCTAGCCCCCAGAACTGTGAGAAATAAATCTCTGTTATTTATAAGCCATCAGTTTACAGTGTTTTCCTATCACAACTCAAAATTGTGACCATGAGAGAGCAAGACAATGAGCCTTAGGGAAATTAAAGAAAATGCCCAACCAAGAAAATGGAGCAAGTGAGTGTTGAGACTTGAAACCAAGTGGACCCCCAAACAATATTGGTATATAAGAGAGTTAAAGGGCTCCCACTTTTCCTCCTAAACCCATCCCTAGGCGGCTGTGTGATCATAGACAATCCCTCTCATTGTCGCAAATGCAAAATAATGTCTACACTCCCTGCCAGCCTGAAATACTGTTTCTTTTCTTGAAATGGTTGCTACTTTTAATAAATGTTCTACCTGTCCCTTTGAACACTTAATGGACTAAAATAAATATTTGGGGAAAGTATATATATGTAAACTAAACTTTGTAACCTGCACTGTACACTCTATTCTGTTTTATCTCATGGCACAATAACCAAACAGTGCAGTTAGATGCCCAGTCCTGATGACTTCAGACTTCTTTACAATATTAAACTACAATACAGGAGGCACACCTGGAAGCTTTTAATTACTACAAACTGAATGAAAAATGGATTACACTGTATTCTCCCAGGTGATCAAAATATGGTATCGATCTATTAGTTTTCTGAATTCTCTCTGTTAAGACTGAGAAATTTTTGGACAACCTAAGAAAAGAAAGGCTGTGTCTGTGAAGAAGGAAAAAAATATTTTTTAATGAATGAGGCCAAAACCACACATGAACTTCTCTACGTTGCACCAGCTATCCTGGCAAAAGACAATACAAATTCACACTCTCTTCTTTATTTTTGTAACAACAAAATAAAGTACCTTAATTATATTTCAAATCTACAAGTGTTCAGCAATCAATCCCTGGGTGCCTGGTAGATGATTTGGCACTCATAAAGGTTTCAGGGGAGGGTCATCCAGAGAACCACAGATGGGAGAAAAAGAGTGGGTGCTCACATTTGAGGAGTGTGGAGAATTAGAAGGCCTTTGGTAGGCACAGGGCATGAATTGCGTGTGATGGGAGATGTATTTATATGCTGGCTTCCTAATAGAAGGAACAGTTCCATTAAAGGGCAGAGTCTGTGATGTTAAAGCCACATTTGGAGAACAGCAAAGCGTCCAGTTTAGCTGGTGTGCAGTGCAACAGAAAGGTACAGTACTTGCCCAGCTGAAGAGGTAGCTGACTGTATCTGAGGAAAGGTGACCTCGTGAGAAGAGGCTGAGAGCTAAAGACAGAAGGCCTGGCATAAATATTCTCTCTCTGCCAAGAACCAGCAACAGGGTATTCACCGAGTCACAACTTCTTTGGGCTTTGTTTCTTCATTTGAAAATGGGAATACAATGAAGGGGGCTGAGGTGACAGACACTACGGGGGGGGATGAGTCTACAGTGTGTGATGACTGTCTGTGCAGGGAGCTGGAGACGGAACTGTTGAAGCTTGGGGCTGAGTGATTAAGAGAATAATGTCCCTCCCAAAAGAGAAAGGGAAGCAGCCGAGAAGATGACGATTAGGAGGCTGGAGAATGGGATAGGATACTATAATGAGGCAGGCCTGGGCCCAGGTCCTCTGCTGTCCCCCACCACTGCAAGAATTTTCCACAGGGTAACAGGAAGCTGAGTGAAAGCATCAGCTCCTTTCACCTTCTGGGTGATCAGGAACTAAACTTGCTTGCATTTGAAACTTCAGAAACAAGTTGCTTAAGGGCCACAGAAGCAAGGCTGCTTTGAAGTTCCTCACTCTTGAATTCTGGCTGAATCTCATTTGTGTAATGTACCTTATATCCTGTCCAGGTTTAATATTTTTTGGTGTGTTTGAGGTTAGGGTTTTTCCAACTTTAAAACTGCTATTTCTTTAGGGTTTTTTTTTAATATAAAATATAACCACAGGATATTTGAAATCAGAATCCCTAGAAATGGCTATACAACACACACGGCAAGAAGCTCTGTGGAAAATTTACTTCTGCATTATTTCCCACACCTAATTTTGACTCCGTGAGCTGCTCCAGTCCTGCAGCAGAGTGTATGGGGGACGCTGCCCCAAGATCAAGTGGCAAAGACGAACCAGGGAACAGAGAAAATTTCTGGGCTTTAAAAAGCAATAGTCTAACAGAAGGCAGAGAGATTCAAAAGCACAGTCGTTGAACAAACGCTTCTTCCTGCCTCTCCTGGGTGGAGAGATAAAGATTCTCTGAGGATGGAGGATGAGGAGACACGAAGAAAAGAAGGCCTCAGGAGAGATCCAAAGTTCAGCTCACTTTGGGCAGAGTCTAGGGTG